TGGTGTCAGTTTGCTGACTGACAGTAGGCTGCAGACCACATGTTGAGTGGTGGTGTTTTCCCTAAAACCTTGTTTCTTCATTTTGCACCCAAGGTTATTTAGCTAAGAAAAGTGAAATGATTTTCTCTATATTACACAACTATTAAATTTTTCTTTTTTTAGTTTCAGTAGAGGATAACTCTACTCAAAAGCAACATTTGGTCTTTTGTCTGATGATAATATTCATTGTGTGTATATAAAAGTCAGAAAAATACGCCTTTAGGGTTTGGGGCTGTAAGAGTCTCACTTTCTGCATTACAGATTTCTGAAATAATCTTGTGTGTGATCTTACACTTTTGGAATCAGAAAAAATCAATAAAGATACAAAGCAAAACAAGAAACATCAGAAATACTGAGACAGAAAAAGCATAATAATAAAAAAAACAGTATTAGTTTCATAAAATTAAAGTAATGGGTTAATATGGGGGAAGCATCAAAAGATAAGGCCTAAAAGATTGTCAGGGATGGGGTTGGAAAATGGTATGTAATTCATAAAAAGAAGTTTGCATTTTATTTGGTAGACAATGGGGAGCAATTGAGGAATTTTATATAATGAAGTAATACAGAGTAGGTTGGTTTGTAGCAAGAAAATTTTAGTGTTTTATCTCTCTATATATTTTAAAGTAAGATTAAGAGGATCTACTTCAGTTTTGTAAAATACCTTAGTTTTAAACACTGTAATTGAACTGTAAATAATGACTTAAAAGATAGGAGAACATAGAAATAATGATGCAGAAATTGAGATTAGCATTTATTGTGTTCTGAAATACCCCGTCACTAAAAAATTAGTAAAAATGTATAATATTGAGGTAGTATATGATGCTGTTGAGCATAACTGTACTGCTTGGGTTGGAAACTCTCATCTCTGATGTTCATTGTTTTTTCAACTTTGGACAAATTCCTTAACCTCTTTGGATCTTGGTTTTCTCATCTATAAAACGATGATACATAATACTTTCCTTATAGAACTGTCATGAAGTTAAATGACTTCTCTCTCAGTGTGTGTGTGTATAGATAGGACGTATTTATCATATAATGTAGAATAGTGCGTGATAAATAATGAACATTAAACAGGTACTTTTACTGCTGTCGTTGCTGTGGTTAGAAGGCATCACATTAAGTAAATTTCATACACTTGCAAGAATAATGTGAGTATAAAATACCAACAATGTACTAGTTATTATCTGAAAATCACCAGCCACTGGATTTCAAATTTTCTTTCTTTCTGTTTTATAAAGAAGAAAATAGTGAATTTAAGTATACTTAACTTAGTGCATTCTCTTTATAGTTTATCAGAGAAGATATGAAGTACAAAGATGCTACTAATAAACACAGCCATCTGCACAGAGAAGATAAGCATATAACTGTTGAGGATTTATGGAAACGATGGAAAACATCAGAAGGTAAGACTGTTTTAGTGATCTGGATCCTTCAGCTGCTTTTCTGCCTGCTTAACTGTTGTTAACTCACTAATTGCAAAAAACCAAAAAATCAAATAACATTTCTCTGAGGATATTTATATTTTAGTAAATAATTGTTCCATTTTTGATTTTGAACTATGGTTTTCATTTTTCTTAGGATTTATTGAGGGTCAGCCTGTCAGATTATTTAATACCTTATACTAGAATAAATAAGATAATGCATGTCTTAGAGCTTAAAGTTGTAGAGCATTGTTTCATCTGTTAAATGGATTATTGTAAAAGATTTATCAGATAAACATATGGATCCCAAAGTTTTCTTTTCACTTAAGGAAAACAGTTCCTAAAGTCTTTAGAAGGCACAGAAGTTTCAACCCTTTCCTTAAGTAAACCCTTTATGAAGTTTTCTAATAGCGCATGATAGAGTTGTGTAATTTACGTTTTGTCCCTTTTCCAACTTGTAAGTCCTCAAGCTGTCTTATGCATAGCAGTTGTTTGGGGCCGGAAAAATGTATGACCTAAAACCTTAGCTTGATCCCTAGTACTAGAAAACTGCTTAAAAAAAAAGTCTGTTAAGCTTTTTCTTTTTTTTTTTGGTAACAGAGTCAACCAAGATGTCTTTTTCTAATGTTTCTATTCTTTTATCAAAGTCAAGAAATTATGTTGTAGCATGTATTTTTTCAAATTTTAATTTTTTTAGGGGGGTAGGTAATTAGTTTTATTTCTTTCTTTATTTTTAATGGAGGTAGTGGGTATTGAACCCAGGACCTCATGCATGCTAAGCACGTGCTCTGCCACTGAGCTATACCCTCCCCCTGTAGCATATATTTTACTCTGCAAATTTGAATAATGAAATGAGATTAAAAAGAAGCTGGGGGTAGATTACCAAGTAAGAGTATGAAGAAATAATAATGTTTACTAGACTGTCAGTGGTAACATTTGGGAAACTATTCCGTTAATGTTCAGTATTTTTATTAATGTAGAAGGTTTATAGCTTGTTTACATTTTTGTTTTCACTTTTTGAAAGAGGCATCTGATGAAATACTCCGAGAAGAAGAAAAAGAAAGAAGGAAAAAATACCACTGACTTCAATGAAAGATACATAAACTTAAAAAAAATCTGTCTTTTCATTTCCCTTCCCCATACCATTTTAGTGTAATATGAACATGGGTGGGAATAGGAATAAATGAGTATAAATTTCATGCAGGAAAGTGCTAGAATGGTTGAAAACTCAATAAGACAGTCTGTTTATATGAGAACTCAGCACTGTGTAGGTATTAGTAAAGGACTGAGAAATCCATCATGGAGTCTGTTGCTACTAGCGTATTTTAAATTCGGGGTTTGTGATAAGTTGAATGGCGCCCACTTAACTATGTTTGAATGGAGAAAAAAAGATTTGACCACTTCTCACTACCTGTTGTGCCACCACCCTGCTTCAGCCCCCATCTCTTTCCTGGATAATTGCAGTAGCTGCCTAGGGATTTCCCTGTGTATACTTGTGTTCTTCACTTAGCAGAGTAATCTACTTAAAATATAAATCAAATTTGCTCGTAGTCTGTATTGGCTCAGAGTAAAAGCCAGAATCTTTACAAAGGTCTGTAAGACTCTACATGATCTGCCCTCCACATACCGTCTTCTCTTCCTTTCCTGTCCTGTCCGTCCCTCTCACTGTGCTCTGTCCCAGCTGGACTCCTTACTATTCTGCAGCTGCAGGAATGCTGATGTCCTCTTGGCTAACTCCCTTAACTCTTTTATTACCTCAGTGCTTTTTCTCTCCCTGAGGCTTGCTCTGACAACTCCGTTTAAAATTGCAGACCACACCCTCCCTACCGCCTTTGTTTTTTGGCACTCTTGTTGATCTCTGTTCCTCAGCTTCACACTTTTTTCATGTCCTGTATCACCTTCTAAGATATAATACATTTGACTTATTTGTTATGTTTATCTTCTCTCCCAGGCCCCCCAAGAATGTAAGTCTCAGAGAGTAGGAGTGGGGAAGAGTTTTTGTCTATTTTATGTATTAGTCTGTCCCAAATTTGAGAGGATTCTGCCCTCAGATCCCATTTTGATTTCCCACCCTCGTGTGTTTTGGGAATCTTTTGTGATTTATGAGAATGTTTGTTCGGTTTTAGCTTAGCCGCTTATATCTCTTTTCCCCTAGGCTTTCGCCTTAATTCCTGCCTCCTAAAATTTTACCATTGTGATGGTGAAAAGACTTCCCCCTAAGTCTTTAAAGAATTAGCCTCAGTTATCTGCTCTGTGCTTCTTTTTCTCCTAACCCCAGCCTCTCATACAACCTTCTCAGGTGATCAGGGCTTGGAAAGAGTAGTCTTAGGGCTCCCACTGAAACAGCAGCAAGAGAAGGAAGCGTTGGGTGAAATAAACTGCTACCAGAAGCTTTACAGTAACCTAATTGACTTTCTTAGTATTATTTCTCTCAATTGATTTTACCATGTCACACACTTTATTTGTTAAAGGGCTCATGTAAAGGCAGGGCATTATTGCTGGACCAGTGGTTCTAAAGTCATAGCCTGGAGGTATCTCAGGGACAAGTCATGATAAATGTGTAGTTCTGCTTTCATCTGGTGTATTTTATTTCTGTTTAAGATTTCTCCTGGGAAACAGAAATTCTTCTGAAAAGGTTTGGAAACTGCTTATAAAGAGATTAAAATGCAACAATATGTCATTTAAATATGTAATTTAAATTTAAAATTTAGTTGAATATGATTACAGATACATGCACAGGCACACACACATATGTTTGCACACACAAACATGCAGTCATACTTTGCCCATCATTGTTGTCTCCATTGCCTAGAGCAGTGCCTTACTTACTTTGATATTCAGTAAATATTTGTTGAATGAATGTACAATACCTGATGAGCATTGGATACTCAGTAATTCAGTTCATCAAATACTTTGATTACAAGCATTTCTGCTGTAATGAAATATATGCATTCCTGAAAAACTTGCACTTTGTAAAATTATGAACTTAAAAATTAGAGTGTATGGAAAAAATTGGGTTGAAACAGGCTACTCAAAACCTATGCAGGTTTGTAATCAGAACACTAACAATATTAATAAAAATACTAGCACAGGTACAAAAAGTGTGTTAAATTCCTAATCAGTAAATACTATAGTATATTATAGGACTTTACCTTAAAAAAGTAAGTAAATATGACCTACTAGAAAGAGATACTGAGGTTGCTACATTTAAGAAGGGCAACGTGCACAAAAATAAGAGCTGAGCAACAAGCATTTCTAAGACAGAGGCTGTGGCCAGATTGAACTAAGAGGAGGAAGGAATGGTGAGCAGACATATCGTGTTCACAGGTTTGCTGTCTTGGTGGTCTTCATACTTTGTATTCATTTGCTGTTACTTGGTGATGTAGAATGATAACACCTGAGGAAAAGTCACTGGTGAACTGATGTGACTTTTATATTAACATGATTCCTTTTTACCAGTTGCAGGTAAGCTAATTCATGCTACAGCTACAATGTAGCATAATAGGTTGTTATCTATTATGAACTAAGCAGACATTAGATCCTGAGTATTAAAGATGAGCTAAATGCATCTCTGGGCTATAAGGAGTAAGTAGCTGAGTGGGAAGAACAAAATAAACAAATAGTTGCAACATATGTGATGTGTACAGTAATAGAAGTAAGTGTCAGATATGGAGATAGCCCACTGGAAGGACTAATGAACTCTCTGGTAGGATAGTACCCAGAAGGTAGTGTTTGCCATAGGCTGTTAGGGTCGACCAGGAGTTCTAGAAGGGGATAAGGAGCTAGACCATAAATGGTAACCCCCTTATAGCCCCTTCATCAGTTACCTGAAAATGTGCTGGAAGTGGAGGTAGCACACTACAGGAAGTGTGTGGGCTTTCAAGCTATGCAAATTTAAATCCTGGCCCTTCTGTTTATGAAGATTAAGACATTTGGCACATTTAAAAATTCACTTATAGGATGCAGTTCTTGTGTGATATAAATGAGTAATGTAATGAAACTGCCTGGCGTAATTCCTGGCAATACCAGATAGGCACTTATTAAGTGTTGACTTACTTATCGTGTAAAAATGATGAATGAACTAAAATGTTCAGCTCTGAAGTTTTTAAGGTTTTTGATTCAGTCTTATAATATTCATCAATAAAATGGACAGGTATATTTGGCTGAATACTCATGATTGTAGTGTGCAATTCTCTGGAGGGTGAAATGTACCTGAGGTCTTTATGGAATGTTGTCATTGGGGGAAAAGTAAAATTATGTTCCTCAGAAATTGATCTTGATCTCATACAGAAAAACTTCAAAATGACCTGAATGTACTTTTGTGTGTGTGTGTGTTTGTGAGAATTCTTGGTTAGTTTGTATATGGCAACAGTCCGATGCAAATGAAAGCCATTTTAAAAACTAGTATTAGATTTCAGACAGATTTCTATTAACTGGATCAGTTGTAAAAATTATTGAATGCAGCAATTAAATGATAGATACCTAGCAAAGGAAAATATAGATAGAAAATTATTGGTTATGTATAAGATTCAGGGACCACAGTAGATAAAAAACTGATTAAGTAATGTACTGTTTTTAAAAATGATAACTCATTGAGTTAAATAGTTATTATAACATGAGACAGCTATGAGGTAATCTTTCCATCCTGTTCAGCACGGGTCTTATCTTACCTAAGGTCACTGTGTAATTTTGGGCTTTACAAATTGAATAGACATTTGGAAGATTTGCAGGGGGTTTGTTATTGGCTTTTGTTGTTGTTAGAAATTTAAAGGAACTGAAATTGCCTGAGAGAATGAAAAATGCAGGCATTTAATACTGGTTTTCAAGTGTATATAAAGCCTAGCTCTAGAGAAATGACCAAAGTGTTTTCTTTCTGTTTAGGAAAGCAAAAATGTAAATGTTACATAGAAGGAAATATAAAGGGAAAGAATTCCTGACCTATGGGTGTTAAGTTTCTAAAAGTAAGGAGGATTATGACTATTTCCTTTATATAGATCCTTAATATTGATACAGATTTTTTTCGGAGTGTGAAAGTTTAAGTTGAACTCTAAATCTTGATGAAATCTACCAGCTTATTTAGGTCTATGCTATTGGTTCCAATGAGACTGGAATGTAAAAAAATGTAAAAGGATCAGTGCAGATAGTTTGGGATTATCAGAAGAGTAACTCAAAATATAGACCTTGTAGATGATAAAAGTAGTAGTATCTTTGTGGCATCCATCAACACAATGTTTGCTTGTATGTTTACAGTATGCATGGCAGTCACTATAGTGGGGTACTTAGTATAAGATAAGGCCTTTCTCCTCCAGGAGCTTACAGTACTGTTACCTGTGCAGAGATGAACTGTTAAATAACAATACTGGAAGGGTCGATTAAATGCTAGGTAAGTGGTTCTATTATGGGAATTTAAAGGAATGAATAGATTTATTATGGGGAAGTCTTCATTTTTGCTGATGACTCTTCTGCAGAATTTTGAAAGAGAGAAAATTTTCCTACAGAGAAGTGATAAAGAAGAGATATATAGGTTAGCACATTAAAATGAATAAATGGATAGATGTAAGTCCAGACTTTAGTCCTAAATCCCTCAAAAGAGCACAATTTACAAGTCAGAAATGTGATTTTTTAGTGTATGAGTTAAGAATACATCACTGATATAATATGTCTTTTGGTATTAACGTGCAGTGCTTAACCTTTCTGTGTCTTAGTTTTGTCATCTGTTAAATGCTGGTAAAGGTTGTCTACAACATCAGATTGTTAAGGATGAAATGAATTTATACATGTAAGGTACTTAGAGCAGTGCCCACCACATAGCAAGTGCTCAATGATTAGCCCTTGTACTAGTGTTCTTGTCAGATAAATGTGAACATGGCTCGTGGGGGACGTTGGAGATTGATACTGCTGGAAGAGGCATCTGGGTTGGGGAATAGTAGAAATGGGGCTAGTCAGAGAGGGAGACCAGACTAGTGAGCCTTGCTGATTAAATCTGATGAGCTTCTTTAAGAGTGACAAGTAAGATTCTACTGATAATACTGAGTGGTAGTGGTTGCCTGGAGCAGCACTTTATTGAGGATTCTTGATCTGTGTCTGGTCTCAGTAGCAAAGAAGGATATTATTATAGAAATCATTGGTTGGCAGTATTTACTATGTGTGTGGGAAGTTATGTAGCATATTTTAACATTTTTATCATCATTGTACTAAATGTTAGCTGTTACAGCGTCTTGTTTTAGAAAACCTTCTATAGGAGAGGTATAGGATAATGAATTCACTATAGGCCTGAAAACTAGCTTTGAATTTAATATAATGTGAACTTGAGTGGAAAGAATGAAAATACACAGGTACTGAAGATACACAGATGAAGGATATGTTTCTGTCCTCCACCTGTCTACAGTCTGTTACTTGAAGAAAGGTCTGTTGACGGGTAATTAAAGGCTGCGATCCTGTCTGTAGCTGAGATAGGTAGTAGGCACTGTGGGATTATAGAAGAAGAAATAAGTCATTTTGCAGAAGTCAGGTAAGGCAAGAGGAGTTAGTTGCACTTAAAGGGACATTTACCTTTCATCTCTTGTCACCCCTTCACTGGGAAGCACTCTGCTAGATTAATAGCTTTCAGGATATTTATAATTAGTATAGCACATTTAAAAAACTCAAGGCTCTTAATGTGCTTCAAATGCTTGTGCTGTTTTACTAACTCAGGTTTTTAACACTTTTGACTTTTATATAATACTTCTAGTTCTAGGAGAAATTGTTAGCTGTCTATAGAGGTACTGGGTTTTCATTGTCCACAGGAAGTGGTTTATACAAGGGAAGGCCTGTTCTTGAGGTAGAATCTAGTTTCAGAATGACAAATGTCATTATTTGCACCACTAACAAAAGGCTCTTGTAGTCAGTTTCTGGTGTGTAGTGAATAGGTGACACAAACATATTGTTCATTTGTTCTATCAGACAACATTTAAGTGTGCTTAATGTAAGTTTTTGCCATAAGAGTACCATAAAGATTACTTCATCAATTTGTAAATTGCTTGATCAATTTGCAGAACACTTCTGTATTAATCAGAATTGATTTTTGTACTTTGTATAAATTGTATTCCTTATTCCTTTATAATCAAGTAACTTTACTTTTAGCATATGATTATCTGAATGAGTTCGGAGCACTCACAATAAATTGCTAATCCTTCTTAATCATCATCCATGTTAGTATTTCTGTCTCTCTGTTCCCTTAATTTCAGATCTCTTCATCAGGGCTAACTGTTTTAGTTTTTATTATATTAGCTATCTTCATTCCTATTTCTCTTTCTCTTTTATTGTTGACACCCTTCCTCTTACTTCAGGAAACTTGAGTTTTAGAGATTTAGGGTCATTGCATGTACTGATTTGCTGGGATTAATGATGCCTTTTTAATCTGTAGAAGGTACTTGACTTTGAGACAGCTCTGTCTTTCTTTATAGTTGTTTCTTGGTTTTGTCCTGAAATAGAGACCACCTCTCAGAATAGGATGCAGTCACCGACTGCCTATCACATCTCTCTGTACTTTGGGCTCTAGAAAATTTGACAATCTGTATTCTGTGTCAACGTATGAATTAGATATATTGTGAGCCTCATTTTTCTCAAATAACAAACTTTTGTATATTCATCTTAGGATGAAGCTTTTCTTATAATTTAAGGAAGTACTATTCTAAAATTGTTTGTGAATTTGCCATATTGTGGTTTTCTGTACACCTGAATTATTCTACATTTCTCCTCTGCTATGTTCACAGACTCAAGGGATACCTCAAGTTTGGAGTACAGTTACAGAACCTTCTGCAGAAGGTAAAAATGAGGGCTGTCCACTTTTCATTATGATGGACTATCTAGAAAACAGTAGACTTTCTGGAACATCTCATTCTTTCCTCTTTACCCCACCAACTGGGAATCAGTTCCACATGGATGTGTGTTATATTTTGCTTTACCAATCCTTGGTTTGGGAAGAGGGTGGAGAGGAGGGACTCTGGTTCAAGTTCTGGTTGTTAAAATATATGTTATTGCAGGAGATTCACTATATTAAATTCTGCTTTAAGTGGAACAAATATTTTGTTTCTGCTCTTTTAGATAAGAGGCGTGTTCACTGGTATTAGTATTTTCCCCTTCAAAGATGGTCAGTTTTACAAAAATCTTTTTTCAAACAAGTCTTATGCTTACTTGAGTTTTTTTTTTTTTGTCCCACTGAATATTACTTAGCAATTTAGGGCAACTGTAATAAAAATAATGCAAATTAAAAATACAATGAAAATAAAGATTTCAAAGATACTAGATAGCCATTTCAATTTGAATATGAACATGACTTATTTCTAAAAATTCTAAACATTTCTACAATTCTGGAACATGTGTGATAAAATATAGAGTAAGTCACCTAACGTGTATATGTGTCTCATACTTAAAAGTCTTTTCACTCTATGAATGGTTACTTTATTCAAATAGAGTACTAAGTGCAAATAATGTTTGTTGTCTAAACTTTGTCATCTGGTTAAGGTGCTCTTCAGTAAGAGGTCCTTCATAAGCATTCTTCTGACATTTGGCCAGTCTTCTGCTTCTCTTTTTTTTTTTTTTTTTCGCATCATTGTAAATTCTTCCAAGATTTTGAAAATGGTGGGCCATTTAGATACTTTGGATTCAGAGTGTTTAGCATCGGCTGCTTACTTAAGTAGTTAGCTTAAAATTAAGAGTCTAGATCAGTATGACAAAATGAAACAGCAAATGTCAGTTGTATTGAAGGAAATTAAGTTTTTACTTCCATCATCAATTTTATTTCCTTACCATGTAATTAGCTAAAAAAAAAAAAGTATGAAATAGTTTATCACTGGGAGCCTATGGCTACTTAAGGGCTGTGTTCTAAAACAGAATTAACCATATAGAGTTGTGATTCACTCACATAAAGGTATGATAGTTAAAGTCATTTGAATTGAGAGGTCACTAAGAGAAGGAAAAGGGAAAAAAATAGCTCCCCGGGAACACTGCTAAGACAAAAACCAAGAATTAGCTAATGAAATAAATAATGGCCATCAGAGACATAAGAGGTGAGTAAAGAAGGTACAGTTTCTTGGAATTCTATAGAGCAGAGTTTTCAGGAAGTGATGGATGGTTGTATAGTTGAGGGCATAATCTGCCATATTGCAGAGTATTTGCTGAGTGCCCTCATGAAGAACTTTTAAAGTCTCTGTAATAAGAATTAGTTGTACTCCTGAGGAAATGACTGATTTTGTTTCCTTCTTTGTCTACTTTTTATAACTATTACTAAGGATCTCGTGTATATTTTGTGCATGCTCTTAGTTTCATTCAGTTTCTGTTGTCCATTGACATCCTTCATGTTTTATTCTCTTTATATTATATGAATCTTTGTAAGTCATTTCTTCTCTCTTTCTCTGTATCTCTCATTGAGTGATAGAGAGAGGAGAGATGAAAAGAGGCCGAGAGTGGTGATATAGAGAAATACGATGTATTGGAGAAAAGCTCTTAGATATTGCAAGAAGAAAATCATTAACCTTGAAGAAGAGAATGTAAGCATTGATTGGTATGGGGAGTTGAGTCACATACACACACAAAATAAATCTTAAAAAAGATTTAAGTGGAAGCAACTCAAGAGCCCATCAACAGGTAAATGGATTTTTAAAAATGTAGTATACAATGGAATATTATTCAGCCTTAAAAATGAAGGAAATTCTCTTGCAACATGGATGAACCTTGAAGACATTATGTGAAGTGAAAGAAGGCAACTACAGGAAGATAGAGTATGATTCTGCTTATATGAGGTACCTAGAGTAGTCAAAACCATAGAGACAGAAAGTAGAATAGTAGTTGCTGGGGGAGGAATAAGGGGGAGGGGGGCAGGGGGTTGTTGTTTAATGGGTAGAGAGTTTCAGTTTTGCAAGATGAAGAGAGTTCTGGAGTTGGATGGTTGCATAACAATGTGAATACTTAATACCATTGAACTATACACTTAAAATGGTTAAGATGTTAAATTTTATGTTATGCATATTTTACCACAATAAAAATGATTTAACGAAATGAGTAGATATGAAGTAGATATAGCGGGTAACACCTTATTTAAGGGGTAGACAAGAAGATGGAGGAAATTGGTAGTTACAAATGGGTAGTATGATCAAGTAAAGGATTTTCTTAAGAACTGATAGATCTAATTATGCTTAAAGAAAAAGGGAAGTACTCTACTGACATTTTTAAAAAATTACACATTTAAAAAGCTTTTCAATTCAGGCAGTATTTTGTTCAAAAAGTACTACCACCATGTATAGGAATTGGTAATTGGGTTTACATCTTAGTACATCTTAATGTAATAAATGTCAGCATTTTTTTTATGGATATTATGTTGGATTATGGATTGAAAAGGTATTGTTAGGTTAATAAAAAATGAATTGAAGGCAAGAAACTTATTGACAGAATGATTTTCTTTTGCTAGATGATGCTGACTCACAGGTTTGTCACTAACCATTTTCAAATCCTTTGTAGAATTTACTTCCTATGAATAATTTGAATGACAGTTTTTTTTTTAAAACAATAGCTTGAACTTTTTGGAAGAGGTTGAAGGTGGGCTGGGAAGAGGGAAAATGGAAGAGAAATCAGAGAGGGGAGGCCTAAGGAATTCCTTACCTTTCAGATTTTCTTATTTGCTTGTCTAGTTTCTGAATTATATATTATAAGAATATAGAATTCTAACATCCTTATTTTCCATGTTTTGACCAGTACCAAATATTTTGTGGCAGAATTTTAATGATAGTGCTACAGCTCTCCTACAATGAATAATAATAGGTTTCTGTGTGCTAGCTGCACACCCACTGATCCAGAGCCTGTGACCCTAGCAAAGGTAAGCATATCCCAGATTGCAGTGTGAGATAGTTGAAGATTGATCTGCTTTGATAGTTGTTTAAATTTTTCTCATCTGTTTTTAATGAGCATGCTCAATTGCATGAATTTGACCATGCATTAGACTGCATTCTCTTTTAGATGTGTAATTAGACGCTTTTGAAAGAGGGAAGGTTAAGTTTTAAGTTAGTAGATATATGTTTTAGGACTGTGCCTAGATTCTTTGAGTGGTTTTCAGGAATGCCCAAAAAAGTAATCATTCTAGTTTCTAATAGAACCTGCGCTATATTAAGTACCAGAGGTTGAATTTATCACAAAACTAAACGCTTAAAGAATTCCTGTGCATAACTGATTGTAATATGCTTTGTTGAGTGGCTTGAAATTACAGTATACTATGTCTTCTTTTTTTTACTACATAGCTTTAAACTTTGAGCAGTTTATCCATTTTAGTAAGTTTTTCTTCAGTGGAGGAAGATTAAAGAGAGGACTCAAATTATCTCAAATAATGCGAAATTTCTTGTAAGGATACTCTGCCATCAATGATTTTATTAATTGCAGGTGACTAAAGTCAGACTAACTTGCTCCATTCATTCATTACATCAAAAATTGAGTTGTTCCTGGAGACTGGCATTATTCTGAGTTTAGGGGATAGAGCATTGAGCAAAATAGATTTCCTGCCTTCATGAAGTTAGCACTCTTTTAGGAAGAGAGATAGTGAACAAGTTTGCATGTGTATGTGTAGAGATACACACATTCACATGACTGCTGCAACAGATAAGTAATATGATAAAAGTTAAGCAGGGTAACACATACATAGTCAGTGACCAGGTAGGATGGGGGATATTTAAGTAATGTAGTCAAGGAAGAACTTCCCAGAGAAGTGATGTTTGGTTGTAGACCTGAGTGATGAGAGAGACTGAGCCACAGGAAGGTCTGGGTGAAGTATATTCCAGCTCAGAGATCAACCAGGCTAAGACTCTAAGGCTGGAATGACCTCAAAGTATTTTGGGGACTTTAAGAAGGCTGGTATAGGTAGAAGATCATAAGAGATGGGGAGACAAGTATGATCAGAGTGATAAGCGGGGGCCAGATCTCAGAAGACATTGTAGGGTCTAAAAAAGAGCTTAGGATTTATTTTAAGTATAATATCATTATATTGCAAGTCTAGCTCCATTTAGGAGTCTTGAGTAAAGTAGTGATCTATGATCTATCTTTTGAAAAGATTATGTAGTGACTGGGTGGATATTAAACTCTGGAGGGAGAGAGGCAGCAGTGGAAGTGAGGCTCTTGCAGTGACCTGGTGGGAGGGAGGTAGCAGAGAGGTCTGATTGGTGATATGGTTTAAAAGAATACTGACAGGATTTGCTGTTAGGTTGGATTCAGGAAGTTGAAGAGAATGGGGACAGAAATTAAGGATAGTGTCTGGGTTTTATGTACCTGTGGTGTTCAGATTTCTTGGAGATGGAGGCAATTAGGGGGGAAAAGTCAAACAGGCTCAATTGGGAGATTAGTAGTGGGGAAAAAAAAAGGTTAAAAACCCCTGAGATCATGATGCAAAGAAGTGAAGGAATAAGTGCTGAGAGGTCAAGAAGCAGAAGAGGATCCAGGAAAGAAGAAAGAGAAGAAATGACCAGTGAGGTATGAGGGGAATCAGGAGAATCTGGGGTCAAGAAGTCCATGAAGAAAATGTTTTAAGAAAGAGCACAGTCAGCGTCAGATGCTCCAGTAGTTTGAATAAAATCATGGCAGAGACCTCACCATTGGATTGGCAAAGTAGAGGTTAAGGTTGTTGGTGATGTTGACGAAAACAGTTGCACTGTCGTGGTGGAAGTGAAAGTCTGATTGGAGTGGATTGAAGAGGAACTGAAGACAGCAAATATTGTTGACTTTCAACAAGGAGAAGAAAAATGGGACTATGATACCTGAAGATAGGTATGACATGAAGGAAGGATTTT